TCTGTCTCAAAAAAAAAAAAAAAAAGAAATTCTGCCTTGACACTCAGCGCTGGACACAGACTGGAATCACATGGCACACGGTAAATATTACTGATGAGGGTCCCAACTAGACTATGTGAACGGGAATCTCTGCGAAGGGGGCACAAGAGCTGTATCTGCAATGCCTCAGCACCCCAGTGTGGAGCCACAGGTGAGCTCTGCTCAGAGGGACAGGCCCAGCACACCTCCGTGCGCTCTTGTCCCCTTGGCGACGTGTTGCCACCAGTGTCCAGACAGTGAACGGCGAAGGAACAAAAAGAAACATGCGGAACAGGCAATATGGACCAGTGGAGGGGGTGAGGATGGGGCTGGAATCTTAAATTGGGGCAAGTGGGAGAAGCCACCACTGACAAGGGGATGTCAGAACAATGACCTGGGGAAGGAAGGATGTTTCCACCTGCAGGGGAGGGCCAGAGAGTTCTAGGCAGACAGACAGCCCATGTGGAAGCCCTGAGGCAAGAGCCACCTTGGCCCCAGGAAAAGAAAGAGGCCTGTGAGGTTGGAACAGAGCAAGTGAGGACAGAAGCAGGAGATGAGGCCAGACAGGTCCTGGGGGAGCAGAGCAGGGAGGGCCCAGGGCTGCAAACATTTCTCTCCCACATCTCAAGAGAATTTTGGAAACTATGTATACCCTCACCCATATCAAGTGAACATGTGATGTTTTCTTTATATGAGAAACTACAACACTTACAAATGATGCAATTATCTTAAATATTTAAAATACATGCTGGTAAGTTCAGCTAAGCCCCAGGAAGTACAGGGTCACTCTCACCTGAGATGTGGGGCCACAGGGGAACACGTTTGGGGGAGTTCAGAATGTCCCTTTTGGACACACCAAGGGGGAGATGCCTGTTAGCCCAGCAGAGAGTGGAGGACACAGCTGGACACAGGATCGTGCAGTTCAGGGGAGTCTGCAAGGGAAACCTTGACACGTCAGTGGGGTTTAAACCATGAGACGAGATGAGAAGGAAAGGCAGCGGGTGTGCACTGAGATGAGAAGAGGCCCAAGGACTAAGCTGTGGGTCACTCCACAGTCAGAGAACGGGCAGTTCAGGCCACACCAGAAGAGGAAAGTGTACAGTGATCAGGGAGGCGACAAGAATATTAAATCAAACAGACTTCTGAAGGTTAGCGGGACACCCTTAAGGCAAGGAGAAAAGAAAGAAGGAGAGACCAGCTCTGCAACGTGTTGTGGACAGGAGAAAAAGAAAACAGGACAGACACTAAATACTGGTTTAGAAATGGGGCGATCACTGGTGACTCTGAGGAAGAAAGTATCAGTGGAATCGTGGATGTGACAGCTTGACTGGATGGAATGAAGGGAACTGAAGGCAAGAACTGAAGACAGATTACAAGCAAGTTTTTAGGTTTTAAATGGAACATAGAAGAAGGGTGTTTACTAAAGATAAAAACATATTTCATGGACAATTTTTGTTTTAAAGATGGAACAATGGAGGGGGAAAAAAGCCTCATTTTGCGTGTGTGTGTGTCTTAATGGACAATGCCACCATCTGAGTACTTTGATCAAAATAATTCCCTTGAAGTAAATATTGGTGACACCGTGGAGGAAGGATGCCACACCATCCTGAGACTGCTAGCGTGGCTGGCAAGGGGGACACAATCTCAGGGCCAGCAAGAGCCAAGAGCAGGGACAGATCATCCCCAGTCTCTACTGAGCAGAGACCACAGGCCCTGAGGCAGGGGGCTGGGCCCGTGGGAGATCTCTGCTGTTGCTTCCAGGGGCTCAAAGCAGGAAAAACAAAGGTCTTGTAGGAAAAAGACAAAAGAGGACTTGGGCTGCTGAGGGATCAAGAGGAAAGGTGTGGAACAGACCAATAGCAAAATGCAAGCAGAGGCGAGCAGGAAAGTGAAGTGAGACAAGTCAGTTTGGGTGTCTGTTTTCTCCAGGCTGTGATCAGCTGCAGGGACAGAAACAGAGTAGGCAGAGCTGGGTGAGGTGGTGACGTTAGGAGGAAGTAGGGAGTCCCAGGGGAATGATGACATCAGTCCTTTGCACAGGGGCATTAGTCTTATTTGACTGTTAGCAATTCAATAGCCCAGTCTGGGCATGATATAGCAAGACCTTGTCTCTTAAACTAGAGGAGCATATTCTGTTGGATTACCATTTTAATCCGTGTCGCAGACAACAAAGCCAGGCTCCACATGTAGTGAGTAAATGAATCAACGGGAACAACACACAGTCGTACTGGTCCACCCTCTGGCACAACCTTCACTTTGAGGAGCCGGGATGTTGTCCTGAGGACTATGGGAGGCCAGGGGAGGGTTCAATGCCAGAGATGGACATGACCTGCTTTTAGATTTCGCTATGATAGCTCTAAAGCACAGAAACACCCCTGAAGATGGTCTGTCTCTGAGGGGTCTGTCTCTAAGCTCCTAATTCTTCCATTCTAGTGCCTTTGTTTTGTTTTTTCATTTTTGAAGGACTGGGTCCCACTTAAAATTCTAATTAAATCTGGGACTCCTCCCTCCCAAAAGAAAAGCCAAAGCCACAGACACTGCTCTGTTTGGCCAAGCACTTCAGGGGTCCATGTCAGTCACACTGAGGTTTTCTGGTCCAGTCCCTCGTCTCCATGGAGCAGGTGGGCTCACGGAGGCTCAGAGAAGTTTCACCAAGTTATCCTGACAAGG